GGAACTCATGGGAGGTGATCCCCACTAACCAAATAGCCTTAGCCACTAGACCGGAGCATGGGAATCTTTCCTTAACAAATTAAATAAGTGACAGAATTAAGTAGCTTAACAACTTAGGTTAAAGATATTTGGCCATTTTCTTTTAGTGCAAACTAAATAAGAGTTTTACCTTTGCCAGAAATGTGCCTGCCCTGCGTTTGATCCAACATCCGCAAAGTGAACTCTGCGAATATTTTAGAACTACTAGGGATTGCTTTTGGATCTGCCAAAGCCAAAAATAGAGAAATATGACTGCCCAATCCATGACGCCTTCCCTTTGGATACATCTGTATCTTCCTATTAAACAAAGCCATTTGAACTCTGTGAGATTCTATATATATATGAGTAAAAGGAAGGGAGAAACAAAAAGCTTCTTATATATCAGGATAGGATACCATTTATGATCCCCGGAGAAAAATGTTTGTGAGTCATAGCATTCTGACTGCTTCGATGAAAAGTTTTCAATCCTCCAAACATGCTTGGAACTGGTGGCATCCTTTATCATTGATAGGTATTCTCCTTTTCCTGTGCTCATTTCCTTGGTAACAAACACCTCCGCTCCAAAAACACATGTATCATCCACTAGGTATCCGTTGGAAACATCATTGAATGTTCTGAGTGGCAGGAATTGATCAAAGCCCCATTGATTTCTCAATCCACGGAAGCGTCTTTCCTTTTCCGTGGCATCTAGGCATGATAGTTGTTAGATGAATATAACACAGATACTTCATGTAATGACTAAATTATATGAAGCCAGGAAAATATGAAGTTCTGAGGACTAATTGAGATTATACCATTAACGACCAAATAATTGTCCTTGTTCTGATCAAGCAAAAACAATTTGAAACTGGCACGGACCTCCGAACTGCGGTTGACAGAATCTGTATCAGCAATTGCTAGATAGAGGGAGATGTGGTCTTTCACATTCCGGCCTTTATTTCCACTTGGGTAGAGAATCAGTTTCCTGTTTATATATTCACAGAAAGAGAACGAAGTTCCCACATGAGATGGACACATTTAGTTGTAAATCATTAGGCAAAATAAAGTATGTGATTTTGTAGTGAAGAAAAAGAGAAGTAGAAAGCCTTACCATTTGTAGCCTCCAGCCTCAAAATCTCCAGATTCATATTTTTCTACCGAATTTTTTAGAAGTAATGAGAATAACTGTATCTTGACTATGTAATGAGTTGGTGGGGCATCTGATATAGATCTTGCAACACCTACAATAATACATAATTGTAGCTATATTAATGCCATTATACCATTTAGGAACAGGAAAAAATTAATGAGCATAAAATTAATAGAGTAGAATTTGCAATGGAAAATGAATTGAGAGAGACAGGTACCATCTTGGGTAGTAGATGAACTACTTGCCATGGGAAAAGATTTGATTTGGAATGCTGGATAGAGCAGGCCCCCTACTTATAATACAAATCAGAAGGTTGATATTCCAAACTTAACAAAGTTTGTTTAAGGATTCGAATTTTCTATCCATTTCTTGGAGAGGCTGCTTATGAAAAACTGAAAACGTGAAGGATTCGAACTCTATTTGTCCTTTGCTTATGGTAGATTGCTTTTGATCTATGCATTAGCAAAGTATCCATTCTTTCAATAAAGGATATGAACTTTTAGGTTTGGTTTAGTTTGACTATGGTTTTGAGTTTTTAGTTTTGGTTTTTATATATTTTCCAACTTTAAATAGAAAACCCATTCATTTTCACTTGTTTTTACAATATATTATTATGATTATTAGATAAATAAGAACAAAAATAGTTTTAATACTATTAAACAAGTAAATATCTTTAGTCGTCAGTGTTAAAATTTGTTTAAAAAAATTTTTTAATTTAATTTTTGATTTTTAGTTTTGGTTTTTGGTAATTACAAAATTTATAAAATCCAAAACTAAGAACTAAAAACCAAAAATTAAAAACCACAACTATGTTAAACAGAGCCTTAAATTTTACTAATCAAAGATTAAGTGGATGTCCAAGCTGACATGGCAAAGGAAATCTATTAATAGACCTCATAATTGGAAAATGATTTAAGAACAACTTTTTTGTACTATCTTTTTATACAAAATGATTGTAAATCATTTAATATCATAAATCTATTAATAGACCTCATAATTGGAAATCTTTTTGTACTACCTTACATGTTATTTCAATGATTGACTCTTTTTATTTATTTGAAATTTATGATATTAAATGCATTTACACATTTAATGATATGTAAAAGTTATATTAAAGGGTTGTACAAAAAGTTATCCTTATATCACCACCCTCATAATTTATGCAGACGTGGCTTTCAAAAAATAAAATATGCTTATGTGTTAAGAAAATGAGCCATGCGTGCTAAGTTGGACAATAAATTGATAAATGAAACAAAGGAGACTTGTGGGATCCACAAAGATTAAGTTCTTCTATTTTTTGGGTCCCACATGTCTCTTGTTTAATTATTTATTAATTTATTGTCCAAGTAAGCATAAAAAGCCATTTTCTTAAGGACAATAATTTTTTTTTTATCAGCAAAAACCAATAGATATTATTGAACGAGTATAAGGAATACTCCAAAAAAAAAAAAAAAGAAGAAGTCAAATTACAAGCCTAGAACAAAATACTTGTAAAGAATTACACCTTTGGTAAGAAAGAACAAAAAAAGAAATCAGCTTATAGCTGTAATTTACTGCTTGTATCTTCTCAAATTTTGCGATACTGCACAATAGCATCTCTACATTCCATAAACCTTGATATCCAATCATAATAAGAGAACACACACCCATTTTCTTTATTTCTTAACCATAGAAAAGATTTATTCTAAATTAACTCCAACAGCAACATAGGGAGGAGGTGGACATTACAGCAGTTGGGAATTGGAGAACATCCAGAATTTGGAGAGATATTATTAGTGTAGGAGGGCGTTCTAGGAGGCTAAAAAATATGTTGGTGGAGGGGTTTAGGTGGGAAGTGGGAGAAGGGAAACGGGTAGGCTTTTGGAGAGAATTGTGGGTCGAGTATAAAAATTTAAGGGATTTATGCCCAAGGTTGTATGAATTATCTAAGAATAAGTTGGGTAATATTAGTGATATGGGGGTTTGGGAGGGGGAAAAATGGAGTTGGAAAATGGAATGGAGGAGAGGGAGAATAGGACAAGAGAAGGATGAGGAGGAGGTGTTGTGGGAGGTGTTGGAGAACTTTAAATTAAAGAAGGGTGTGAATGATACTAGGAGGTGGATTCATGATTTGGAAGGAAAATACATGGTGAAGAAGGCTTATGAATTTTTAGCTCCCACAGAGAGTATCTTAGAGGACCAGTGGAGCAAGCTAATTTGGTGTAGATTGGTACCATCCAAAGTGTCTTTCTTTGGGTGGAGATTATGCCTTGATAGGCTACCAACTAAGAGGAATATTATGAAAAGAGGGATCTCTCTGCAGGAGGAGGAGTTAATGTGTGGGTTGTGTTATGACATGGTTGAAGAAGCTAATCATTTATTTTGTATGTGTAAAGAAGCCTGGCTTATTTGGGTAGAGATTCTACAATGGTGGGGCATGGAGACTGTTATTCCTAATAATATTTTAGGAGTGGCAGAGATTTTTGTACAAGATGTGGGTAAGATAATTGGGAAGGAGATGGGGGCTTGCATATTTCTTGTTGTATCTTGGTACTTATGGTATTGGAGAAATAGTAAGGTGTTTAATAATGGGAATAACATTAGAGGAACACTATTAGAAAGGGTTCAAGCCAAGTCATTCTTCTGGATCAAAAACAAGGTGCAAGGCTGTGTTTGTTCTTTTCATGAGTGGAAAGTAAATCCAGTTGGGTGTGCTCTATCAGTGAGAAGTTATAAAAGGGAGCTGAAGCTGTATCGTAAACAGCAGAAAGGTTCGGTGACAGAGTAAGAGTGGAGGGGTGCGAGATACTCCATTGTGGTTCAGCAATCTGGAAAGTCGAGATATTCATGAAATTGTCTGTATGTCCATTTTGTGTTTAAAATGGTTATTTTGAATTTATTCTGCAGATTGGTTTGTGAAGCATTAGTTGGTGTGGTTCTTTGTAATACCCTTGATGATACTGTATTTGTAATGGGTAGGAGTACCCCTTGTACTCCATAAAATAAATTTATCTTTGCTGATCAAAAAAAAAAAAAAAAAAAAAAAAAAACTCCAACAGCAACACCTCAGACCTCACATTTGTCCCAAACACCTTCATATTTCTCTAGCACCAAAGAAATCAAGCAACAACTAAAAAAATTAACGCTCCCAGATCTTTCACACATCCCCCTCTTATCCCACACACCACAGATTTTGCCATCCCAAAAATGTCATTTGGCAAGACACCTTGCCAACTCCACCAACGCAAAACCTGCATCCACACTACCCATGTCCCCTTACACTCACAAAAAATATGATTAAGTTTCTCCTCCTCCTCATTACATAACCCATAGCCAACATTCTCCTCCAGCAAAACCCCTCTCTTCCCTAAATTCTCCTTAGTTGCCAACCTATTTAAAAATAACCTCCACCCAAATACACTTACTTTAGACGGAACATACTTACACCAAATAATCCTTGTCCATTTCCAATTCGGGAGACAATCAAAAGATGTTAAAAAACCATAAGCATCTTTCGTCGCATATATACCATCACAACTATGAACCCACCTCCAAGAATCTACTCTTCTTGTTTTCAGATTCACCTCCTTAACCAATTCCTTAAACTTTTCTTCCTCATTACCTACCCTCCCTCCACAACAACGTCTCCATGTACACTCCCATATCCAATTATCTCCACTCCAAAAACCCATATTCTTCACCAAACCCTCCTTATTCATTGCTAACGCAAACAACCTCGGAAACACATTTTTTAAAGATGTATCTCCCACCCGCTTATCCCCCCAAAAACCCACACAACTTCCACCCCCAACTTCCCATTTAAAACCCTTTGCTAACATTAACTCCAACCTATCAGACCTTTTACCAATACTAACAATATCCCTCCATACTCGAGACAAACTTAAAGAGTTAAAAGCGAGAATATCAACCTCTTTCCTACCCCCGTAATACTTCTCCCAAATCACTCTTTTCCATAAACTCTCTATTCCATCACCTAATCAATACCACCATTTACCCAATAACGCCCAATTCCTCTTCTCCAAATCTGCCACTCCCAACCCCCTTCTCTCTTTCGCCACACACATATTCTCCCAACTAACCCATGCAATTTTCTTCTCCAAATTAGCACCCAAAAAAAAAAAAATTCCATTGAATTTTAATCAACTCAAGAAGAACACCTCTAAGAATCTTAAATAAAGACAAGTAAAAAATACGAAGAGCAGAAAGTACTGAGTTGATTAAGGTGATTCGACCTCCAAAAGACAACAAGGGGCTCTTCCAAGTGGCAAGCTTAACCTTAAATCGGTCTAGCGCAGAATCCCAAAATCTTCTCCTCCCCGAACTCCTTCCAACTGGTAAACTGAGGTAAACAAAAAGCATCTTACCGATCTCACAATGCAAAATTTTAGCTGCACCCCTTAACCACCCTTCTAACACATTAAATCCATACAGATGACTTTTATGAAAATTTATTCATAACCCAAAAATCAATTCAAACCAAT